CCAGCCCTCTGGTTAGCAGGCAAGTGTCTTAGCCACTATGCTACCAGAGCTCCCTTCAGAAGCCATTAAAGAGATGGAAATCAAAACAACAATGAGATACTATCACTCACTCCAGCACTAATACCAAAGTTCAAAAAACAGAAAACAACAAATGCTGGCGAAGGTGTGGACAGACTAAACCTTCATACACTGCTAGTGCAAGTGTAAAACAGTGTAACCACTGTGGAAAACGGTATGTCACTCCCTCAAAAAGCTGGAAAGAGAAAACAGCATATGATTCAGCAATCCCACTACTAGGATATCCCAGAGAAATAAAAGTTGTGACAAGAACAGATATAAGTACACGCATGTTCACTGCAGCACTATTCATGATAGTAAAAAGATGGAAACTTAACTGTCCATCAACAGAGGAATGATCAACAACTATGTTACAGACACACAGTGGCACTCAACATTAAAGAACAATGATGAATCTGCAAAACATCTCATAATATGGATGATCTAGAGGACATTACGCTAAGTGAAATTAGTCAATCACCAAAGGACAAACTATTCTATGAGACCACTACTGTAAAGTCAAGAAAAGAGTTTCATACAAAAAGAAATATTCTTTGATGACTACTAGGAGTGGGAGCAGAAGGGAAGATAAGCCCCTAACTAGAAGGCTGTTGTTGTTATGTGCCATTGAGTTGGACTCGACTTCAAGCGACCCCTCCTTGGGTTTCCGAGGCAGTATCACTATAGAAGCAGATTGCCCCGTCTTCCTTCCGAGCAGAAGGCAAAAATAAAGCAGCGAAAGTTTAAATTAAAAAAAAAAAAAAGAGAGAGACTGTGTGGTGATTCAACAGTGAGACTTGGTGGCTACAAAGAGCTGGAGACACATCAACCCAGAGACACCTGAAGACAGAAAATACAGTGGCTGACAAAAATTTAGTAAGAAAAATAAATTACCAATTCTGTGTGCCTCTTTCTTCATTTGTGAATTAGAGACAACTGTAATACCTGGCTTACTGGGCTATGAGTATCAACTAAGTTAATACATGTAAAAAGCCCTAAAAGTTTGCTGTTGCTGTTATATGCCATTGAGTCGGACCCAACTCACAGCGACCCCTCCTTGGATTTCCGAGGCAGTATCACTACAGAAGTAGATTGCCCCATCTTCCTTCCGAGGAGTGGCTGGTGGGTTTGAACCGCCAGCCTTCTGGTTAGCAGTCAAGTGCCTTAGGCACTATGCTACACATATTAAATGTAAGAGTTAGCTATGATCATTACCATTATTGTTTTCTAAGAACCTCTGACAAAAGAGGATATGCCATTCCTCTACACTTACTCCACCACTGCTCTCAATGTCAATACTCTCCAAATTCCCAAGAAGCCAGTTACTCCAATCTTCTTCCTGTTAGTAGGTTTTAATGAACTCTTCTACTCTACTTTTCTTCTTTCTTTAGTTACCAAACTTCTTAAATTCAGTCATCTTCATTCCCCTTACCTACTTATCACAGCTTGCTCTGGATTAAGCTCTTGGCTTGGGGCTCTTCATTCTCTGAACTCCCAACATTTATTCTTCAATACATGTTATACTCAAATAGCAAATCTCTACCTTTACACTTTGGCATTCCTGCCCAAGTGTCAAATCTATGTATCTTCAAACATGGTAGTTCTACTTGAACATTTTATTATATCTCACACTCAATTTCTTTACAAGTCAAATGATTTCTAAGGTGCCATCCCACTATAACATTTCCAATATAAACTAAAATAAAATTTGTCACCTTCTCTACCCACTCTGAATCTTATTTTCATTACAACTTCACAATATTTCTATTCATGGCACTATTAATTCTCCCAGTAACCAAAATCTATCTAGTCTTACTTAACAATTCTGATATCCATTGATTTCTAGGTTACTACTTTATTAGATTATTCCAGACCTTCTCTTGCTTCTAATAAACATCTTATCAGTTCTACATTTATATCATTCTCACATTTATCTTTTCCAAATACTGTTACATTATCATCCACTTAAAAACCATCCAGAGCCCTCCACTGGTAAGTCCAAATTCCTTAGCCTGACATTCAAGTTTTTCTCTTCCCAGTCCATCTTTGTAGCTATAATCCACTAATCCCTAAATTAAATGTTATCAATCAAACTCTACTCACCACCTAACAGGTGGCCCAGTTTATGTCTATATAATCACGTAACATCTGCCACCTTGGAATGTCTTCTGCATTGTTAATTTATATCCTAAACTTTTCAAAGGAGCTCTGGTAACGTAGTACCTAAGGCAATTGACTGCTAACCAGAACGCTGGCAGTTCAAACCCACCAGCCACTCCTCGGAAGGAAGGTTGGGCAATCTACTTCCATAGTGATAGTGCCTTGGACACCCAAGGAAGGATCACTATGAGTCAGTCTGACTCTATGGCACATAACAACAACAACAAACTTTTCAAGGCTCAGTTCAATTTGATAGTGTCCCAAGAAATCATACAACCCAGGGTAATTTATCCCACATATGAATTCCTAAACCATCTAATGCCTGTAAAACTCACTTACTACTTCATGATATAATGCCTCACATTGTTATCTAAATGTATTTATCATCTCCTGTATCAAGAGGAAAACCAGACCCAGAAAGGGATACTATGACACCTCTCTGCATCTACCATATTTTCACAGAAAGCTGTGCATAACAGTCAGTTACCAAAAACTTACAGACTGAATGAAAAACACAGTCACCTCACTTAATGTGTACTAAATATCTGCTTATGTAATCCCATTTAAGAGAAAGGAACATAGAAGGAACAACAAAAAGTCACCATTTTGAACCACCACAGTAATAATGATCCATGCAAGAATCATCAATGGATGCTAAAAGCATCATATAAAAATTTTTTGGGAATAGGATATTCAAACAGTCTCAAATTATATCTGAACAGATTACTTATGAATTACAAAGGGAAAAAAAAGTACCTTCACATTGAAGAAATCTGGCGGACACCAAGTGATCAAAGTTAACATCACCAATAATGGAATAAACTGACATCATGTGCCTCCTGATGTGATGCACTGAGGACACAACATCACTTATGTATTATTCCTGCCAAAAATGCATAACCTGAAACTAGTCATGAGGAAACAATCAGACAAACCAAAAACTGAGGGACAATCTACAAAACAACTAACCTACACTCTTCAAAAGTGTCAATGTGCTGAAAGACAAAAGAAAGGCTAAGGAGTTGGATCCTGGATCGGGGGGAAAAAAAAAACTATACTTGATATCACTGTTATAAAGGACAATTGGTGAATGTGAATATGGACTGCACTAGACAACAGATTATATTAATGTTAAACTGACTAATTTTGATCACTGTTCTCTGGTTAAGTAAGTAAGGGTGTTTCATTGTTCTTAGGAGAAACATTCTACAGTATTCCAGGGTAAATGAAATCTAACTTTTATTCTTATAACTGTTCAGAATAATAGTATCAATAATAACAACAAGTACCAATACAAAGATGGCAAAAATGTGACAAAATATTAGCAAGTATTGAATCTAGGTGAAGGGCACAGAGTTCAAGGCAAGAGTTCAACTCATGCAACTTTCTGGCTTTTTTACCCTCCAAAATAAAATTTTTTAAAAAATGAATACCCTAATACCACATAAAAACTATGAAGCTTTTTGAATCTGTGGTCTTTTACATTTTATCTAACAACTGTAGTAAAGGTATTTCATAAATGAAATATTTACTTGCAGTGGAAGATTTTGCTCTATAAAAACATTTGCTCTCTTTAGTGCAAATACATCTTTATGAAACCAACAAACCATTTCATAATGTTAACAGCCCACCACAAAATTTTCTTTTAAAAAAATTCTTGTTAACTGTATTAAAACTCAGTTAAAATGAGTAAGGTCAATTTCAATGAGTGAAGACTCTTAGAGAATATTATTTAAACAGTGTAGTTTTATTTTCCAACATACAGAGCAAGTAGAGAATGCAAAAATGGGCTGAATGATTACAGTATTTTAAGCAAAAAAAAAAAAAAAAAATTCTATAATTAACATATTAACAAGCATTTTCAAGTTACTGAAAACGTTTGCTTTCTTATTTATGATTATAGAGAATATTTTATTTATCATAGATCACAAACTTCTTCCCTCAAATATAAAAAACTCTAATTTAGCTGATTGTTAAGTTTTGAGGTTTTATAATCAATCATGAATTATTATTTCTATAAGCTTCCTGGAATCTTTAAAAAAGAATACTTCTAGTCCAACTAAAATATGGTATGAAGGATTTTTTATACTCAAGATTGTAAGGAACAGTCCTTTAAAGTTGGATACCTTATTTATGAGATGTTCTGTAACAACTTCTCTTAGTCCAGTGTAGAGCTTTTCTCCATGTTTATGTAAAACCATTGTATACGCATTTCTATAGAGCTCCTCAAAACTAAGACCACTGTTATTCTTACGCTGGATTTCTTGAATTGCATTTTTCAGAAGATCCCAAATGCTGTTTACATATTTTTCATCCATGGTCATCTGTAATATTCGAGAGAGAGAGAAGAGAGAAATTAATAAATAAATAAAACCAAAGGCTGAAAAATTTTCTGTATTTGTAAATTTTTAACCCTTTATACCTCCCTCCTTCCTTACCTGTAAGTGAACCTCCCCCCCACACATACACTTTTAAGGAAAATCATAGATGGTAATACTTGGTATAGCCAAACAAATAAGACATCTTTTCTCTAAGTTTCTTTAGTAGAATGCACGTTCAGAGATACTGGAGCAGAAAGGATCTGATTAAAAATAAAACTGGGTGCAGTGTAGTAAATTACTTAGTGTGGCTTTTCTACCCATAAGTCTTTGTAAACTCCAAGGTGGGATTTTCTATGAGCAACTGAGGAGCTCCTGATTGCTGAAGTTGTCCACCTGGAGTATTTCTGTTGGGAGTGGCACAAAACAATGTTCTGGGAGGTGCCCACTCTCTCTCAGGTGCTTAGAGTTCTGATGCTGTGATTGGCTAGTTTGACCACCCTGCCGGGCTCAAAAGGAGGCCTCCTAGAGGCAGAACTCTCTCTGACTGCTGGTTGAGGAAGACGTGCTGCTGAAAGAGACATGCGCTCCTGAGACACGTGTTGCTGGGAAAGAGACGCAAGAGACATGCATTGCTGAGTGAGACACCAAGGGACCAGCACTGCTGGGAAAGAGACTGTGAGAGACTGTTGGCTGAGGGACAGTGGGCTGGGAGAGAGACTGAGCATTTTTCCTGAACTTGAATTGTAGCCTGTGGTGCTTCCCTAATAAACCCCATAATCTGTGAGCTCTGTGTGGCCACTGCAGCGAATTAGCGAACCCAGGAGAGGTGGTGGGTGCTTTGGGAGGAACCGTTGGAGAAAGGGCTGGAGGGAGGCAGCATGTCTGGCCTTGTAGGAATAGGCCTTGGGTTACTGCTGATAATCCTGTCTTCCTCTTGTAGGGTAAGAGGAGGTTGGAAGATGTGGCCTCCTTGCCGTTTTTGCACTGGGGATATGAATACTATTTCCCTTAATGAGTTAAAGAGCTAGAGAAAACTTGTAATTGAACTCTTTTTAAAATTATTTAACCTAGCATTCTCTTCGTTTCCTCCTTTTCCAGTTCAGATTCCATAGTCCATCATTTGTAATCACCTTGTATACATCCCCAAATCCCTTGCTTCTTCCTCTCTCCCTCCCAAATACTTACCAGCCTAAACCTCAACTGCCTACCTACTCCTAACCTGCACCCATGTAGCTAAAAGTAAATGAAAAATAGCAAACCCATGTTCAATCAGTTTCAGTTTAAATTCATAACCATTTAATAACAAATGTGTTTTTAGCTGTTGTCAAAGAATAGTGAATATACCATGGACCGTAAAAAGAAGGAACTTATCAGTCTCAGAATACATGTTCCTTAGAAGCAAGGATGGCAAGATTTCAGACACATACTTTGACCACATCATCAAGAAAGAACAATCACTAGAAAAGGACATCATGTTTGGTAAATTAGTGGGCCAATGAAAATGAGGGAAACCCCCAACAAGATGGACTGAGACATTACGCAGATGGTTCAGGACAAGGTTTTATTCTGTTATATGTAAGACTGTCATGACACAGAGCTGACGTGACAACTCCAAGTGGGCCCTTATTGCAAGTCCCCAATCCTGCTTTTCTACTCCCGTAACCTACTTCCCCCAGACAATCTCACATTTCCTCCATACTCACTCTAAGATGATCACTTGCTTCCTTTTCCAATGAGAAAATAGAAACTTAAAGAGACATCATACAAGCACTGAACATATCCATCAACCTATCTGCACATGTACCGATAAAATCTGCTTTCTCTGTAATCTCAGATGAACAAGTTCTTTTGCTTAAAGTGCCTGATCCTCATTCTTAGAGTACAGCACAAGGACCAGAAACACAGTTATCACCCCAAAACATTTTAGAAATGCAGAATATACATCCCATCCCAGATCTACAGAACCAGAAATTACATTTCAACAAGAATCTTAGGTGATACCTACACACACTTAAGTTTGACGAATACAGCTTTAGTTCCACCCAACTCACCTACTCAAGGACCCTGCTTTAGCAATCCTCCTTCCCTGCACCAACAATTTCCCCCCTACCAGAAATTTCCATAAGCATTCAAAATGGTTAGTTTCTCATCTTAAAAAAAAAAAAAAAAAAAAAAATCCTCACAATCTCACATATTCTACCGAATTACTCTTTCCATTTATAGCAAAATCAAAGTGGGGGCACAAAGATTTCTATATTCACTGTCTGCAAATTCTATCTTTCCATGCTGTGTCTTCAATTTACTGTGGTAAGATTTCATTGCTATAATTTTACTTAAAGTACAAGAAGGTCACTAATGACTCTCACATTGCTAAATCTAGTTGTCAAAGTCTTAGTTCTCACATTACTTGACCTACCTAGCAGCATTTGAAAGAGATGATCATTCCTGCTCCTTTAAACAGATCCCTCACGTGTCTTCCACGTACTACAATCTGTTCTCTTCCTAGTTCATTTCTTCTTCCTTGTCTATCTGCTTTAATGGTTCTCCCTCCAATCCTAGGGCTCAGTCAGGTTCTGGACCTCTTGTCTATTTATACTCAGCTTCTAAGTGAAGTTGATCTCATCTAGTCTCACAGCTTTAAATAATACCTATACAACACTGACCACAAAATGTATATATCCTAGTTAGCCTTACCGCCTGAATACCAGAGTTATACATCCACTTACCTACTCAATGTGATACTCAGTTTAATACAACCTTGCTTGAAGCACTTACTGATGAAGATCAAAGACTACAGCCTTCAGCATGGGTTACACCTCAACATAAAGAAAACAAAAATCCTCACAACTGGAACAATAAGCAACATCATGATAAATGGAGAAAAGACAGAAGTTGACAAGGATTTCATTTTTTTGAGGGGATCCACAATCAATGCCTGCTGAAGCAGCAGTCAAGAGTGGGGGAAAATGTGAAACAAAACTCAGAATCATGTAAAAAAAACAGGCCTACCGATCTGATGAAGACTGGTAGAGCCCTAGAGACTATGGCCCTAGACATCCTTCAAGCCAGAACTGAACTTGACCCCCATGACTCAACCGGCAGCCAAACGACAAGACAGACATACAAGGCGACCAGTAACATCATGAGGCTATGCACTCATTAACAATCAAGCATATGAGATCAAGAGGACAGCATTTGTCCAGGGATAGAGCTAGGGAAGTGGCAGGGGTGGGAAGGAAGACTGGAAGGAAGGGGTGGCCATAGGGATGAAGCGGGAAGAAGTTATTATAGTGTGGGGATTGCAGTAATCGTTACAAAACAGAGTATGTGTGGACTGCTGAATGGAAAACCAATTTACTCTGTAAACTTTCACCCAAATTACACTGGATAAATCTGCTGCAAAAGACTTCTTTAAAGTGTTTAAAGCAAAGATGTCACTTTGAGGACTAAGGTGTGCCTGGCCCAAGCCTCTTTTCAACTCTCTTGCATGAAAAAGCTGGACAATGAATAAACAAGATCAAGGAAGAATTGACGCCTCTGAATTATGATGTGGGCAAATAATAAAAAATATACTGTTGATTGCCTGAATAACAAACAAATCTGTCATGGGAGAAATACAACCAGGATTCTCCTTAGAGTGAGGATAAAAAACAAAACCAAACTCATTGCCATTGACTCAGAGAATCTGACTCACAGAGACCTCTCCTTGGGTTTCCGAGGCAGTATCACTACAGAAGTAGATTGCCCAACCTTCCTTCTGAGTGGTTAGCAGTCAAATGCTTTAGGCACTACACCATTAGAGTGAGGATGACAAGACTTAATAATAATGTAATGATAACACTGGATATGTTATCAGGAGGGGAGATGTCTCTGGAGAAAGACATCTGGCTCAGCAAATTAGATCAGGGACAAAGAGGAAGACTGTCAACAAGGTGGACTAATACAGATGGGCACAAACATGGCAATGGTTGTGATCAAGGCACAGAATCAGTTGTTTCATTTTGTTGTACGTTAAGTCACTGTAAATCAGAACCAACCTGATGGCACCCAGCAACTCAACAGTTCTATTTGAATGCCTACTAAGCATCTCAAACTTCTTAAATGTAAAACAGAAGTCCGCTCCCCATCTCTCCAGAATCCGCTAAGTCACTGTAAATCAGAACCAACCTGATGGCACCTAGCAACTCAACAGTTCTATTTGAATGCCTACTAAGCATCTCAAACTTCTTAAATGTAAAACAGAAGTCCGCTCCCCATCTCTCCAGAATCCGCTTCCCTGCAGTCTTTTCCAACTGAGTAAATATCAACTCCATCTTTCAGATGCTGAGGTCAAAAACCTTGTAAACTCACCTCAGTTTTAACCCAACAGTCTTGTCATTTCTACCTTCAAAATATATCTAGAATAGAAGAGAACTCCTCACCACTGCCACTGTTACTATCGTGGTCCAAGCCACTATCATCTCTCAAATCATCGCAATAACCTCCTAACTGGTCTCCATTTCTGCCCTTGCCCTATTCTCACAGAACGATCAGAGTGACCTTCTGAAAATTTAAGTCATGTTACATCACAATCCTCGCATGGCTTTTTATTCCTCTTAGGTTAAAGTCAAAGTCGACACAACATCTTACAAGGCTTTATTTGACCTGATAATCTCGGATTTCACTTTCTCAGCCCCCTTGCTATTTCTTGGAATATGTCAAACAAGCTCACTTCAAGCTTGGTTTTTGTACTTGCTACTCTGGTCTGGAATGTTCTACCCCAGTATCCACATGGTTCATTCACTCACTAACCTCAAACCTGTGCTCAACTATGAAGTTTCACTGTCTGCTCCATTTAAAATAGCAGCCGCCCCCAGCTACTAACCCCGAACCCCAATCCCACATTCCTGAGTGACCTCGGGAAATTACTTACCTCCTCTAAATCTCAACTTCCTTACTTGTAAAATGAGTTAACAACAATACCTATCTCATATAACTGTCATAAAAATTAAGTAAGAATGGCA